GGATGAAATCGGATAGGGATGAACGAGTTTAAGAATTTTTAAGAGTTTTAAGAGTTTTAAGAGTTTTTAAGAGTTTTAGCCAAATGCTTTATAATATAGTATAGAATAGATATAATTAAATGTAGATAACAAAAAACTGAAGTAAAAGAAATTACATAAAAAACGAAAAAATTTAAATACTTAATCTGATACTAATATCTACATTTTTTTCAAATTTATACTTTATTCGAATATAAAAAATTATCGTTTTTTTAAAACCATATTATAACATTGACATAGACAAAAAAAATTAAACATTAAAATTTAAATGTATCTTACTGCATTATGTGAGTACCCTGTTAGCTCCCCTTAAACAAACCAAGCCTCCCCCTTAAAATCATTAAGTTTGAGCCAAAAAAACGAGCTAAACAATCTCGACTCTCTAGCCTATAAACGAACTTTTGAATTTTAAGGGTAATGCATACTCCATATTTGTTATAAAAAGCACGGAACTCGAAACTCGAGTGTGATATTATTCTTTGACCGAACTCGGCAACTTACTACTCGAGCTCTTTTCTTCTCGGTCCGTTTTATAACAACAAAATCACTAAATCGATAGGTGAAGAAAACCCGGCTCAGCCGGCTTGGCTTGGCTTGGCTTGGCTTGGTCAGGACCGCGCGAACTGGCACATAAAGACGCATGGCCCATTAGGCCATTATACAGCCTATTTATATGACCCTAATTTTACGCGGGAAAACGGTCTAGCGAAAGAGGGAGAAATGGCGACGGAGGAAGACACCGGCGGCGAAGCCTACCAAGTGGAGGAGGAATTCAGTGTTTGGAAGAAGAACACTCCGTTCTTGTACGACCTAGTTGTTTCTCACGCCCTCGAGTGGCCATCTCTCACCGTTCAGTGGCTTCCGTCATCGCCGTCACTGCATCCCGACGGTTCCTTCGCCGCTCACAAGTTGATCCTTGGGACACACACCTCCGACGATTGTCCTAACTTTCTTCTTGTTGCAGAAGCTCACTTGCTGGTCAACACTTCGTCACCACTTGAAACCAATTTGGAAATCCCCAAAATCCCTAAGGTCAGCCGATCAATTGATTTTTGTTTATTTCATTTACGCATTTCATCACATGAATGACTAGCAACAATCATACATTTAACTATATCAATTTGTGCACAAAATATGTCTATCAATGTGGTATCCATATGTGTATAAGTATAAATGAAAAAAGTTTATGGATTTTACCTGCGTATACATAACTGTAATCCAGAAGTATCTTGACAAAATTAGTGAGTAGGAATGTTTGGAGAATTAGGAATTGCTGTAATTTTAATGTGTGCGAACTGTTCAGTTCAACGAAATTACTGGACTGATTTGTATGTGTAAGTGTGCTTTTCGTGGGCTAGCTTTCTTTTGGGGCATTTTTTTGCTAGGTAGGGTTCTTCATGAGAAACAACCGCTCTACTCCCCAGGGTAGGGTCAGGTTTGCATACATCTTACCCCTCCCAGACCCCACCTTCGTGTGGGATATACTAGGCTCATTTTCTTTATCAAATTGGGAGGGGTCAAAAGATCGGGCTCATGGAGAGAGAATCAGCAAAAGTACTATCACGCAGAGGAGCCTGACAGCCGAATCAATTGCCAAGATCTGCCAATTATAAGTAAAGCCAGTGCTTGAAATTTGATGATTATCTGATATGTTATTTGATGTACTTGTAGGTTGAGATTACTCAGAAGATACATGTTGACGGAGAGGTCAACCGGGCACGGTGTATGCCACAGATTCCGTCAATTATTGCAGCAAAGACTAGTTCTTCTGAACTTTATGTATTTAACTCGACAAACCAACCTTTAGATCATGAAGGAGGTACTTGTGAACCTGACGTTAGATTGAGGGGTCATGACAAAGAAGGGTATGGGCTGTCATGGAGTCCTTTTAGAGAGGGGTACCTCTTGAGTGGTTCCAATGATTGCAAAATTTGCTTGTGGGATGTCTCCACAATGCCTGACAATAAAGTTCTTGATGCAAAATATGTTTATGAGGTATACTGGTATTTTGTGCTCCTCCTATTTGATATCAATGGATTTATGTTTGAGTAATAAGCAATCTAATTGCTAACAAGTAATATCAAATGTTGGTGCAGGATCATGGGAGTGTGGTTGAAGATGTATCATGGCATTTGAAGAATGATAGTCTATTTGGATCTGTTGGGGATGACTGCAAGCTAATCATTTGGGACCTGCGCACAAATAAACATGAACAATCTGCTGTAGTTCATGAGAAAGAGGTGAAGCAATTTCTAGGAAACTTTCATATGTACATTTTATTTATATGCTTTATATAACCTGTTCATTGTCTTTGGAGTGCAATATTGTGTTCATACATTTCTAGTACATGTCTATGATTATCGGCTGACTGGGTAGCTAGATCTTCTGAGTCCTAGGTTAGACTAGGGGTGTGTAGTTGTTGCTACCTTAGTTATCTTTCTTGTACTTGCTTCTGTTTGTTGTTTGTCTCTCTGGTTTAATTGTTGTTGCTTACTTCTAAATCATTTATTTTTTAGCACCGCCTTTCGTATTTTCAAGTTCTTATGTTCTTTCTGTTATGAACCAAGCTCTCAGTTGGTTAACAACAGGGTCAAAGGAAATAAGTAATGGGTTGTATGATTAAATGGAAAAATAAACCCGGGAACATCTAGTATTCGAGAGGCTAGTCTCTCCTAAACACACTGATAATTTTCTGCCTACTCTACTCCCCCACTGTAAACCCCATCTATAATACCAATTTATTTAGAATACCAATTATCCCTTCTATCCCCCTTCTAGAATATCTAGCATAATATTGGGCTTGGGCCTGTAGATCAATGCATGACACTTTATCTGCAAACTTTTTGAGCAATTTGATGTACCCTAGCTTAATTCGTAACAGAAATCGTTCTCCTTGCTCCAATACGTAAACGATAACACACAGTAATCGTAATACRGTAGCTAGAAAATATCAATTGTAACATGCATGCTTGAAATCGTCGGCCAATCTATTGATGAATGAAATCAATGCAACCCCAGACTTTCGAGAGGTCTGGGTTCTCTCCCAGAGCTGTCGCTCTAAACTGATTAAACTGAAATCAAAACAGAATACCCATTCTACCGAACAGCCCACTATTTAAACCAAAAACAATTACCAAACTACCCTCCCTTATTCAAAACTAAGAAACATCGACTCAACTACTTAAACCTGATTTCTCCTTCTATACGTAAACCTCAAAGGAGGTTTATCAATACTTCCCCCCAAAAATTTCACCTTGTCCTCAAGGTGACAAGTCGGAAACTGTTGCAGAAGCGGTTCCAAATTCTCCCAAGAAGCTTCAAATTCAGACATACCTTCCCATTTTACTAACACTTCGAATTGACCCACATCACCATTTGGTAATGGTCTCATATCCAAAATGTCTTCGGGAATGGCCTGTAGCACCAGATCTTCAGAAATTTGAGTCGGGAAATCGCAAGTCGAAATACAATTGCCCACAGCCTTCCTTAATTGCGAGACATGGAAAACCGGATGGATCTTTGCTGAACTCGGTAATTCCAATCGATATGCTACACTCCCAATCTGCTCCAGCACTTTGTAAGGACCGTAAAATCGAGCTAAAAGCTTAGGACTATTTCCCAGAACCAACGATTTCYGCCTGTAAGGTCGTAATTTCAAGAAAACCCAATCTCCTACCAAAAATACCACCTCTTTCCTTCTCAAATCAGCATACTGTTTCATACGAAATTGCGCCTTAAGCAAATGCAATTTCACTTCTTCAAGCACCTCCTCCCTATCCTTCAGCTCTTGATCTACCGATTGTAACTTCGATGAAGTTGATTTGTAACGGAGCAACGGAGGTGGGTCTCTACCATATAATACTTTAAAAGGAGACTCTTTAAGAGCCGTATGATAGGCTGTATTATATGAAAGTTCAGCCCATGGAAGCCATTTGCACCATTGTTTAGGTGTAGAGGACACCCAACACCTCAAGTATTGTTCCAAGCAACGGTTTACTACTTCGGTCTGTCCGTCGGATTGTGGGTGGTACGCTGAACTGAGCTTTAATTTTGTTCCTTGTAAACGGAACAACTCCTTCCAAAAATGGCTAAGAAACACCTTATCCCGATCAGAGACCACTGATTGAGGTATCCCGTGTAACTTCAAGATCTCCTTAACGAATGCTTCGGCTACTGTTTGGGCATTGAAAGGATGTTTTAACCCAACAAAATGGGCATACTTGCTAAGTCTGTCCACAACAACCATAATCGAGCTCATACCACTTGACCGGGGAAGGCCTTCAATGAAATCCATAGAGATTTCGTCCCATACTTTCTCTGGTAAGGACAAAGGTTGTAACAGACCCGCTGGACTACCAGTCAGACTTTTATTCCTCTGACATACCTCACATTTCTTAACCATTTCAATAATGTCTTTCTTCATTCCCATCCAAAAAACTTCCGCTGATATACGTTGATACGTCCGATCTTCTCCCGTATGACCACCAATAGGAGAACCATGAAATTCGTCAAAGATTAACGGAATCATTTTGGAACAACGCGGAATAACCAAACGACCTTTATATAGTAAGAGTTCCTGTTGAATCTCGAACCCTTTATGCACAGCCTTTCCAGTCACTAACTCGTTCTTGATGTGGTTCAAGAAACTATCACCCGCAATCTCGTTTTTAAGGTCGTCCCAATTTCTCCATTGAAAATTCGCCATATTAGCCAACTCTACGGAATCGAGCTTACGAGAAAGTGCGTCAGCAGCTTGATTGGAACTACCCGGTTTATAGATAATTGAGAAGTCATAACCCAGTAACTTGCTGACCCATTTCTGGTATTCGGGTTCCACAACTCGTTGCTCTAACAAAAAACGAAGACTTTGCTGATCGGTGCGCACCAAAAACTTTTTTCCCAACAAATACGGTCTCCATTTTTTTATCGCCAACACAATAGCCATCAATTCTTTTTCATAAACTGACTTTTGCTTTGCTCTTAGTCCCAAAGCTTGACTAAAATACGCGATCGGTTGTTCATCTTGCATAAGGACTGCTCCCAAACCATACCCCGAAGCATCTGTCTCCACCACAAWATCTTTGGAAAAATCCGRAAGACGTAACACCGGAGTTGAAGATAGCATTTTCTTCAATTCATCAAAYGCCATCTGAGCTTCCTTCGTCCACTGAAACTGGTTCTTTTTAAGGAGGTCGGTGAGTGGTTTGGCTAGAATACCATAACCYTTTATAAACTTTCTATAATACCCGGACAGCCCCAAAAATCCTCTCAGTTCCGTTACCGATTTCGGTTCCACCCAATCTAAAACTGCAGCAATTTTTGATGGGTCAACTTCTACTCCTTTTGCTGAAATTATATGACCCAAATAACCCAAACGATCTCGACCGAACTCGCATTTCTTTTTATTTGCAAACAGCTGATGTTGATAAAGGACCTCCAACACCTTTCGTAAATGCTCCTGATGTTCTTTCATGGTCTTACTGTAAACCAAAATATCATCAAAAAATACCAACACGAACTTCCGTAAATACTTCTTGAAGACCTCATTCATTAACCCTTGGAATGTCGCTGGCGCATTCACCAATCCAAAGGGCATTACCAAAAACTCGTAATGTCCTTGATGGGTTCGGAAAGCTGTCTTATACACGTCATCCTCTTTCATCCGAATTTGATGGTAACCCGATTTTAAATCGAGTTTAGAAAACATGACTGCTCCATACAATTCGTCCAAAAGCTCTTCAATCACCGGAATCGGAAACTTGTCAATAATTGTTACTTTATTCAAAGCTCGATAATCGATACAAAATCGCCAACTCCCGTCTTTTTTTTTAACCAATAATACCGGACTGGAAAAAGGACTCATACTTGGTTGAATGACCCCTGCCTCGAGCATCTCTTTCACCAATTTCTCGATCTCGTCTTTTTGGTAATGCGGATAACGGTATGGCCGAACATTGATCGTATCTGTACCTTCCTTTAAAACGATACTATGCTCTCTACCTCTTTCGGGTGGCAAACCTTGTGGCATGTTAAACACTGAATCGAATTCTTTTAGTAAAGGATCCAACAACACGTTAGATTCTGTAATTTCTCCTGACATAACCGAACATGCGCCCAATTCCACCAAAACACCTTGCCCCTCATGATTGATTACCTTTCCCATTGCCTTTAACGAAATCATCGAACGTCCCAACGAAGGATCACCCCGTAACATGACTGATTTGCCCCCGCAAGTAAATTTCATTACCTGTAACTTCCAATTGATATACGTCGCTCCTAGTGTTTCCAACCATTGCATTCCGAGAATCACATCACTGTTACCCAAACCCAATGGAAGAAAATCTTCCCGGATTTCAATATTGGGTAAAAACAGCGTAATACCCCTGCAAATTCCTTCCCCTTTCTCCGTATTTCCCGACCCTAGTGTAATAGTATATTCACCAGTCATTTCCACTTTTAAATTTTGCCGTTTAACCAAATCATATGATATAAAATTGTGTGTTGCACCGCTATCGATTAACACCACAACTTTTTGTTCGCCTATTTTTCCTTCCAATTTCATAGTTTTAGGATTTGTTAAACCGACAATGGAATTTAAATGTACCTCAACCTTATCACTAACTTCAGCTGCATTAAAACTTCTTTCTTCCACTTCTGGTTCCGCATCATCAGTTAAATCTTCTTGAACCAGTAAAACATTCATCTCTTTCCTTTTACACCTATGGCCGGGAGCGTATTTTTCATCACAGCGGTAACATAGACCCAAAGCTCTTCGTTGTTGCACCTCTTGATCAGACAGCCGGCGGAAACTGGATCCCGTTTTGCTGGTGGAACTTGGCGAGTTGACAGATCCTCCGGTACTATTCGAAGACTGATAAGACGAACTGTTTTTCCATTCGGGACTTGAATGGAAATATGAATTAGTCTTCTTGCTATAACCCGAAATCCTTTCCCTTGCTAACACTTTGTTTTTCAAATCGATTTTCAATGCTATCTCCATTGCTTCGCTAAGTGTCAACGGATTCATCAATCTCAATTCTACTTTAATCGCTTCTTCCAATCCGTTAATGAATTGGCTCAAGAAAATCTGCTCCGGTATTCCGTCTAACGGTGCTGCAAACTCGACAAATCTTCTCCTATATTCTTCAAGTGATCCTTCTTGTCTCACGGATAAAAATTGTTCGCATAAGGAACCCGCTGCCAAGGAACGAAACTGTCTTAACAGCAGCTGCTTTAAATCCTCCCATCTGGTAATCGGATGTCGTTTGTGCTCCCATTGAAACCATTTTAAAGCATCACCTTCAAACGAAATGAACGACACATCAATTCTTTCTTGTTGACTTAACTGGTTCAGCGTAAAATAACGTTCCGCTCGTAAAATCCATCCATCTGGATCTTTACCATCGAACACTGGAATCTCCAATTTACGTCCCTTCACAGCTAAGAACCGGTTTTGACAGCTTCGATTATTGTCTCTTTGATCAAATCGGGTGGTATCTTCATCAGACGTATTAGTTACGTTCGTTCTCGTCACGAAATCGTTCCTCAACTCTTCGATTTGCTGTACGATTCTCTCCAGACTTCTTTCAATTGACCCCACGCTGCTCTCCAGGTCCTCGATTCGATTGTTTGCACTTCGCGTCGTAACATTCGCCATTGTTGATCGTCACGAGCTCTGATACCAATTTGATGTACCCTAGCTTAATTCGTAACAGAAATCGTCCTCCTTGCTCCAATACGTAAACGATAACACACAGTAATCGTAATACAGTAGCTAGAAAATATCAATTGTAACATGCATGCTTGAAATCGTCGGCCAATCTATTGATGAATGAAATCGATGCAACCCCAGACTTTCGAGAGGTCTGGGTTCTCTCCCAGAGCTGTCGCTCTAAACTGATTAAACTGAAATCAAAACAGAATAATTGTTTTTTTATTTATTACCCTTTCTTTTCACACTTTGCACAAACCAGGGGTCTTCACAGGAACAACTACTCTAGTCTTTGAGGTAGAGACCAGGTATATGTACATCCCACCCCCGCATCCCATCTCCAGGTGAGACTTACCGGATTTGTTTTGTTTATCTTTGGTATATGACTGAGCAGCAATATGCTGAAGTTTATCAAATGATTCTGACATTGATTTAGAGACATGACAAGACAATTTAAGGTTTCAAAGTTTATACAAAGGCTGTGAAGAAATTTTGGTAGCTGAGTTGTTAACTGTGTTTTTTTCTTCTCCTGTTCCAGGTGAATTACTTATCTTTCAATCCATATAATGAGTGGGTTCTGGCTACAGCATCTTCAGATACCACTGTTGGTTTGTTCGACATGCGGAAGTTGACATCACCATTGCATGTTTTAAGTAGTCATTCGTAAGTCTTTTGTCCTCGGCTTTTATTTAGTTGTTTCTTTGCACTTCTGAGATTTGATATTACAATTAGTTTATTAAAGATGCATGAATAAGATGGTGTAATTGTGCAGGGAGGAGGTATTCCAAGTGGAGTGGGATCCAAACCACGAAACCGTGCTTGCGTCTTCAGGTGGTGACAGAAGGTTGATGGTTTGGGATCTAAACAGGTACCTTCTACTAAACTTTAGATCTTCCAAATTCATTCATGCGTTTTAGTTTGCAAGTGTTTAGTTTCCCTGAAGCCCTGGTTCTGCGTTTTACCATCATTTCATTGGATATCATATCACCATACGCCTTAAAAAGTGTCATAGGACAGTGACTAGGAACTATGGTGCATCTACATGACTTAGGGTGCGGTCTTCAGGTTGTAAGAGGGAGTGTATCGATGCAGCTTTTGCAACTCGATTACGATAAATACATATGTCACGTTGGTCTTATGTTAAAAACTTGCAGGGTGAAAATTCACCAAAAAGGGAAAATTAAGAGTCAAGGTTAAAGTTCTGAAGTATAATTTGCTACCACCCCTCCACCCCCTCAGAAAAACCTAAACTTTAGACCAACATGGGTACACCATGTTAAAACAGAAACAAAAACAAAAACAAAAATCAAGTATGTCCTTATTTCATATATTTAATGCATTAAGGATCACATTTGTTATGTCACTGTTAGAAGAACATATGATATTGATTTGAGTCTACAAGATTTCGTGCTTTGTGATTTTAAAAGGAGGCATATATGAGTTATGAAAGATAATATATCTTTTTTTTATCTACCTGGTTTTAGATTTATTAAACATGTACCTATAAGGGGAAATAGATCAAACTAGCCATTTTAGAGGACCATTTTCACTTTTTATTCAACTCTTTTTGTTTGAATCAAAATAGCTTAGGCTTCAGTAAGAGCCTATTTCGCAACTTGGAAGATGTACTTTTTATGAATAAAATATGATTCAAATAGACCATTTCGCAAGCCAACACTCCAATTTCACAAGCCTACCCCGTTTAAATTATATTTAATTTAGAATAAGTAGATTTCACAAGATGCAAGATGGGCCTAACTTTTGAAAGAAAAATGTAGGCTAAAAATTGATAATGTTACCAAAATAGCTGTTTCCGATAACAAACACCAACTTTTGCACCAACCTCTTTGCATTGTGGAGAGTAATGCTATCCGATCTGTATGCTTGACTGGGGCGACAATTGGTTGCATGAGGTTATTAATGGTAGTATGGTATTGTCTAAGACGTGGTCCGTGTTGCCAGGGTCGGAGATGAACAACTGGAAGGAGAAGCAGAGGACGGGCCTCCAGAGCTGCTATTCTCTCATGGTGGTCACAAGGCCAAGATATCCGACTTCTCATGGAACAAGAACGAACCCTGGCTCATATCTAGTGTTGCCGAGGACAATGCTCTCCAGGTCTGGAAAATGGCCGAAAGCATTTATCGCGAAGAAGATGACGACATTTGAAAACTCATCTTTTTACTCTTGGTTTATGTGTTGCTTCAAAATCATAGACTTCACTTCTTTTTGGTAACATAAATCATCATTGTTGTGTCAAACCTAACCTGCCCTGTGATGTTTGTCCTTCGCTTACGATGGTCAAAAGGTCCACAGACAAACCGACTGGATCTTCAAATTTGGTAAGATGTACGCAACCTTCCCTCTACCCCAAGGGGTAAAGAGGTTGATTCTGTAAAGGCCCTCGAAAAATAGAAGTTCCATGGGTGGATCTTCGAATTTGGTCAAATACCAGCACCGTTAGAATGAGAAGTTTAGTAATTTACCTATCTTGTCTTATCTTTCTGATATTGTTCCACCTACTTTAGTGAGACAAAAAATTGTATTTTTGTACAGACTAAGGGGTGGTTTGGTTAAGACGAATCCAACAATAATTAATGGGATTGAAAATATTAGAAAATGTTTGGTTTTATATAATATAATAGGTCCGTTCCCCAACAAACCTAACCTAGGTTGAGGGGATGAAAATTTATGTTCATTCACACTATCATTCCTCTCTCAGAACCAAACAGCCACGAAATGTCGTGTCCAACATGAGGTGATGATCGATTCAGCCCAAGTTTAGTACTAGATTATGAAAAAGGAGCTTTATAAAAATACAAAAACTCAACTGAAATAGCAAGAAACAACATGCAAAACATGGAGCACATAACCATGGTGATCCAGCAGCAGATCGTTTTATAACAAAATTGCACACCAAGGATCGTATCAGATCCGACGCAATTCATCTAGATGTTGCTGCACGAGCGCCTGGGAAAACCGGTCAGAAATTAGACACATGGTAAACATCGAGCAAGTATTGTTACAAAATATGCAAAAATTCATCGTCTTTGACTTTGAGACCGGTTACCAAACGCTTACCAGCGAAATTCACCACCCTCACTTACCTTATCGGATAACATTCTTGGCCATCAAAATGGATTGTTGGTAAGAGTCTGTCACCTGATAAGTCATAACCGGGTAAAATTGTCGATCCTTGCTATGCCTCTTGTTGGGTAAGATTGTCATGTTCACTCGATAAGGTAAATGACAACTGGTAAGCTTTTGGAAAATGAACCATTTCATTTTACTACTGATGACGTAGATCAAGTTATGATATTATTGCAATTATTAATTACGTGAAAAAATATCACATAAAAATCAACTGATGTCACGTAAGCTTGCTAAGATCGGCTTCAATCAACAAAAAACGAATCAAATATAAACCAAATCATCAATGCTGGAGAGCTTATAATTATTGTTTACCTTTTCTTTTTAGTTCCGGCTGAAGGATTGACACCTCGGAGACCATTGTTAGCTCCACATCCCGGAAGCTCATCGGGCATCGAACCTTGGTTCCCGAAGCACGGCAGATCCTCAAAGTCACAGTCATTGAGATCAAGATCATGGTGCACCGACGCACCTCGCTGCATATTACAGGGATTCAACACGAACCCACCACCCAAATTCGGATTCACAAGGCTTGGATTAGTCGGATGTTGCTTCTGATAAGGAAACGATCCAATTTCTCCATCGATTCTCCCTCTAATGTCCACAAGCAAACACTTAAGTCTCCCTACTTCTGCTTCTAACCCCACTTGGCTTTGAATTCTCTTCATTAGTTGTTGATTCAATGCTCTCAATCGAACCACTTCGTCTTCCAACGAAGCGGCACGTGCTTTCTTCTTTTCACGGTATTTTCTCACAGCTTCCCGGTTCCCCGAAGGACGTTTCTTGCCTTTTTTCTCTGAGGACTCCGCGGTATCGTCGGTGGGGGTCTTGTCGTCATCGCTCATAGCCGGGAGAATCTTGGTGTGCACGTGGTAACATGTGTGGGTGTGCGAGGAATCGGGCCCCGACGGATTGCACGTGTGGGTATGAGTACAAGCGTGTGTGTCGTTGAAGATTTCATCGAAGAAGCCGTTCATGGAACCGGTGCTTAGGATATCACCGACGGTCGTACCAAACATCTCGTGGTTAGAGAATTCAAGTTCCCCATCGTCCATTGCCACCCGAAAGCAAAGTGGCAAACTGATAAATCAAACTAAACGAAACTAACCCAGTAAATCGCACACAGAGGTAGCTATCTCGGGAGGGTAGGATGTATGCAGATCTTGGCTGCAAACACGTGGGTAATGCAATGCAAACACAGGCAGAATTTTTTCAACTTGTTTCCACTTTCCATCAACCAACTTCACCTTCTTTCTGAATCAGATTTCAAACCCTAAAATCACAGATATATGAAGATCTAGAAAAAAAAAATCAATTTGGGGGAGATGGTCCCAAAAGGCGAAAACTAATAATCTTTGAACCCTAGAATCACAGATAAATAAAATTAGATAAACAGAAAAAATACCAATTTGGGGCAAATCTAAACCCGTAATTGAGCTTCAAAGTTCAAACCCTAGAAGATAAAATAGAGCTAAATGGAGCTTAATTTGGGGAAAATTCACAACTAACAAGCAGAGCTCCGAACCTAGAAAAGACAGATTTATAAAGAACACCATCAACATAAGAAATAAACTAATTTGGGGCTTAATTCAGCTTTAAACACTAGGAAGACAGAAAATGAAAATCGAAAATCAACAGAGAAACCAATTTGGTGTAAATTGATCTCTAAACAAAAATAACCACAAACAAGGCAAGTAATCGTCGAGCAATGATCTAAACAAGCCCAAATTTCAACAAAACATCTCGAAGAACACAACTCTAGTTTTTTTTAAACAGAGTTCAATCGTAACCAATCATTAAACAGTAATAAACCAATCGAAAGAAGAAACTTACGATTACGGAAACCCTGCAACTAAGAAAATTTCCAATTGAAGGAGATGACAGTAATCTGGGGGGAAAGGGGATATAAAAGAAAATGATCGAAGAAGATGGACCACTAGTAATGGTATAGAGAATCCAGGAAAGGAGAGAAAGTCCTTTTTTGTAAAAGAGACGCAAAAGAAAGCCTACGGAGTTAATTTATATGTAGTTGAGGGGGTTATTTGTAAATTGGGGGGGAATTTTATGGTGGACAACATGATCTACTAAATCATTAAAATAATGCGCCTATGCAGTTTACGGCTCAAAAGATTCTCTCCGCTATTATATAATTATGAGCGAATTACACAAATAGTCCTTCAAAAATAGTAACAGACTATTTGACAATTAATGAATGGTTTGATGCAGAATGATTAAATAGTTAGAATGATTAAGAGACTCTCATAATATAATACAAAATAAATATAATTGTTTGATAATTATTTACAATAAAATTAGAATGCTGAATGATTAAGGGAGACCCATGATACAAAATCATTAATAGGATTTTAGAACCATTAAGAGGCAAAAAAAAATTGCCAAACAAAATTCACCTCTTAACTATTCAGAAGTTGTCTCTTAATAAAACTATTAAGAGATAAACAAACAACCCCTAAAACTCTATTTTTTTCTTGTTAGTGTTATAATTTCGTGACAAATGCACCGACGTCTAAATTTGCTTTCATCACTAGTCCTTAACTTAAACATTTGTTAAACTCTTCCATTAAGTGCCTCGTGTGAGGGCATTTTGGTCATATTATATCACAGGTCTTTTTTTTAGCTTAAATACAAGTTATAGAACTAAATGAAAACCAAAAAGCAAATCATACAACAAAAGGAAAGGGAAGTTGACAACAAACCCTCATCTATGCTACTAAAATCATGTGAGGTGTTATTTGATAATTGCTGAATGATTTGGTATAAAATGATTAAGAGGCTCTCATGATATAGTATAAAATGAAAGGGCTCTTAATGGTTAAGGGAGGCTCCAGATACAAAATCATCCAGAGGGTTTTAGAACCATTAAGACACATATTTTTTTTTACCAAACAAGATTCACCTCTTAATGATTTAGATATTACCTCTTAATGGAACTATTAAGAGGTAAACAAACAACCCCTTAATGGAATATCTTAACAGATGCATTGGGACTGGTGATGAAAGCAAATTAAAGGTTGTATGATTTGGTATAAAATTAGAACAGTAATGAAGAAATGCAGAGTTTCGGTATGTTTTCGGGGGCAATTTTTGTACTTCACTCTATAAATTGTTTATGCATAAATCACAAGTTATTTGAGCAACTATTCAAGAATAAATCTAAGAGTAGATTATGGATTCTATTTATATGGTATAAAGTTTGTTATGAAATTGGGTTTTAAGCTTTATTTATTACAAAATAATCTTACTGTTTGCATTTTGTTTTGGAATTGATTCAGTCATTAATAATTGTTTGCCACCTTCGTTAACCGTGAGGATGAATACGTCTTTTTTAATATTTTTATTCTTTTCTTAATATTCATCTTCTCCATGTTAACAATCAAAAGCTTCATCTGCTTAAAGATCAGACAGATGCTTTCTCGAGAAGAAAATCAAACAAATAAGTAAATTACTTGAAAACCCTGGTTCCCAAATCTTTGCAGTTAGTGGAGGGTGGTTGAAGTAGGAGACCAGTTTCAAGACAAAATGCAAAACCATAAGAGAATTTGTTTAATAAATGAAGCTGAGAGATTGAATTCGTAAAATAGAACCCCATACTACATGGGCCAAATCTGTAAGTTACTCTAAATCTAGTTTACCATCTTCTACATATATTAAAGCAAAAGTCAGATGATACATATAGAAAATTTGTTGGAGCAGTTATACGTTGTATACATCTTTAGCAATTGACTGATAGTAATAACAAACATAACAGAAGCAATCACTGACTTGGCTACTTGCCTTGCTGACTCTTTATTTGCACCCTTAACGCCTAGCAACCACCTACACTACCAATCAATCAATCGCGTGCAAGCTTACAGATACATGAAGATGTATCCTTGCATCGTTTACAGCTTCCATCATGGTGATGCAATGGGAGTTTTCGACATTTATGGGTATGCGTATATCTCATCTCAAACGCTACTTTTGAGTTGGACATACATAGTGTCTTTGATTTGATTTGGTTTTTCTTATTCCTGTTAAACTAGTTTTATAATACTTCAATACCATTAAAGATGTAGGGTGCTAATGGTTTTCTTAATTTGTTTCGGCCATAACTGCAAAGAAAACTGTATCTGATCAGTTCCAGATTTTAAGCATCAATTCAGTGTCACAACCCATAGAAGAAATCAAGGGATATAGTTTGAAAGATTTTCCAGATTGATACAACTCTATAACAAACTCGTGTGTCTTATGGGTGTTTGGTTGGTGTCGTATGCCTAGTTCCTGCAATGATCAGTTCTACAATGCTTGACAAAATAAATAGATTTTAAGACTGTTTGTTGATAAAATAATCCGATTTTGAAAAACAAACTACAAATTACTGTAATAAAATTTATTTTCAGGATAAATTTAAAATTTCCCTTCTAATCCTAATTTTAATCACTTTGTTGTAATAGAATATGATTTTAAGTTTTAAATAACAATAACTGTTTTGAGAACACCTATATAATATGACTAATGGACTAAAGGTTATGTTTGACAAACTAGTTGATAAGCTTAATTGGTAGATAATAAAGTAGTTGATGCCTGATGAACAAATCATGTATAACAAAAATTAGTGATATGGATGCAAAAATGACCAAAAAGGTAATTTCAAAAATTAGTCAATAAAAATATTTCCTAATATAATTAAAACAAGTCTCTAATAATATAAAATGTCCATTAATGCAAACAAGGTAGTAAAGAAAAAATAAATAATATAATATAATATGTTAACAAAAATAATTTAAAATTGATTATATATATATATATATAGAGAGAGAGAGAGAGAGAGAGAACGTTTCAAATACAACTCATTACACTTGTACAACCAATGCAACCCAATCAATTGAGATATTTGTGAAAATGATGAAAATTTATTTTTATGATTTGAATATTTATGAAAGATGAATATGGTTCATTAATTATGATCAATACTTTATATTAGAAAACAATCAATTTTTTTATGAAATCACATATTCATCAAATTAAATGAACAGTTGAGATTGAGTTGTATTGATTGTACAAATGTAAAGGGCTGCATAATAACTCACATCTCTCTCTCTCTCTCTCTCTCTATATATATATATATATATATATATGTGTGTGTGTGTGTGTGTGTTATAAATTTTAGATTTGTTAAACCAACATTTAGAAAAAATCTACATTAATTTATAATTTTAAACAACCATCACATACAATATGAATAAAAATAAAATTGGTTAAACTCACATATT